TATTTGAATAATATAGTGTAGGACCATACCTATATAAGGCATATTTATACTTTTTTTTTTTCAAAATACCAAACAGATCATGCATTTTAGCCATGCCTCATTTTGCTCAATTTGAAAAGAATTTGCTCTGTTTTTGCAAGGGCTGATTCTGTGAGCAACAGCACCATCTACAGGCCTGGCATATGTACTACAGCGTCTCCAGCGCTTTCGAACGGCAATGGCCGTGGCTGTCTCCTCCTGATTGGTGGAGTTGGCCCAATAGCCGTAGCGCCACCGTCCTGACGTCAGGACAGTGTTCAAATCTGGATCAGTTTTTATCAGATCCGTTGCAGCCCCTTTTTTAGAGATTTGGGTATGGAGGAAAATAGAGAGGGTTGTGTTTTCTGACACTTGGTGAGTTCCCTGGAACACCGGGGACACATATTCATGTATAAAAGACGTACAAAAGTGCATTTTGCATGATAGGTCCCCTTTAAATAAAGCTGAACAAGACTAAGCTTCTACCAGATTTCCAGAAAAAGTAGTTAAGTCACCTCACTAAAATAAAAATGTCAACCTCATGATGACATTTCTACCAAATCACATGGCAATCCATCCAATAATTGTTTAAACATTTCCGTCTGGACCTAAAGGGGTAAACAGATGGATTGGACTGACAGGCAATGCCATCCCTCGAGCCATGGCATTAGCCAGGCTAAGAACACCCTAGATTTGATTGAAATCTCTGTACTAGACATACATCTAAGCACAATATAAAGGACGGCTTCTATAAACAACAATTTGAGGGAAATTCATTCTTCTGGAATTACATACACATCTAGCATTCAAAACTTCCATTTCCTGGGTTCTTCCAGTGAAACTAATGAAGTGTAAGTAAGTTTGGATTTTGGCCTGAACCACAAGTCTTAAATTGACAACCTCAGCTACTTTTCTACGCTACACACAAGTAAGATTAATTTCAGGAACAGCAGTTGGGTGACACAAAGACATCTATGTAGTATTAAAGTAGCTGTAGGTTTTGAATATCAAGCACGTTACCGGGGCTCTCCACTCTGTAATGACACCGCTGGTCTGGAGCGTGAAGGGCCCGTACTATTCCGTGACTCCTGCCATTTCCGAATCAGCAGAAATCGGTCAAACCTTTACTTTCCCACTACGAGCAGGAGGATCGAGTTTCATTGTAGTTTGGTTTTTCCATGCTGTGAATACAGATGTCAACCGCTAGCTGAGGTTTTGGCTGGTGCCGTGTCTGGCTGTGCATGTCTGAGCAGGGCATTGGCTGGCTGATCAGAACTGAGGGACGCATGGGTGCACTTAGTGGAGGATGCCTGGAAAGTTTTTCTTATTTCAGCTGTGTCTAAAACTCTTTTGATGCATTGTGTGTCTTATTCTGATGTTGTCTTTATGTTGGACACACTATGCCGCCCTCTCCCTTAGCTTCATCGCACAAACCCTTCCTCCCCCACTTCCCTTCTGCCATGGGTTGCGTGTCTCCTTCTCAAAATCTTGCTTGTTTTAGGGAGCTTATGGAAAATCTATACCAGGTGGACTTTGTTTGAAGGATACGTCTTTTCTAATTATGTGTTTGCGGAGGGGTTTGGTGGGCGGCCACTGGGCCAAATGTTCTGGTAACAGTATACCACTGCTATATGTGGCCGACTGGTCAATATTAATTAATATATTCAAGGACAATAATGGTTGTGGGTTTGGCGTCTAAAAATGTACTATTTGAATATTGTTGATATCAAATAAAGGGAATACATTAGGCCTTGTTGAGCCCCTGAAATCTTAATGACCCGATCAATACCAGCTATAATAGGATCAATGTACTGTGTGTCTTAACATCTCAGGTCTATATTGGTCTTTAAATTGGTCTGATCAAGTAAGTCCATAACTAAGTCTTCATAATCAGTAGAGTGTTGTTTGTTTGCCATCAGAGCCAGCATGCTTTGTCATATACCTAAACAGACCCCAAAGTAGCAGTTAATGGGCTTATGTTGTTAACATATGTGACATTGGTTTGAATGAGCTGACTTCTGCCTTAAAGGCTTAAAGGTAGGGTAGGTAAGTTTGAGAAACCGGCTCGAGATCGCTAGAATTTGAAAATACACAACCGGAGAAAATCTGCCCCTTCCTTACAGAGCCCCTCCTCCAACACACACAAACGCGCACATGACCAATGAGGGCACGAGATAAGTTTGTGCACAGATGGAAGGCTGACAGGCAGGTAGGCCATCCAGTTATTTTAGCTGGGCTGGCTAAAATGATTGGTCGTGCTTTTTACAGTACTACGGCTTCCACAGATGACATTTTTTTATGGATTCTTTGTCAAAGCACTTAAGATATTCATTGCTATCGGGATGTTAAGAGCATTCCATGGAATATAACAAAAAGTGTATCTCGAGCCGGTTTCTCAAACTTACCGACCCCACCTTTAAATGCAGTTGAGTCATGACCTTCTCGATCTTCTCTCACATGAGATGGGTGACAGATTGCTGGTAATGCACCCACATGATATTGATCTCTAAGATAACACCGTCGACTGTTCTTGAACTACAGTTGGCCCAACATTCAGAGCCAACCAAAAGACTGAAATCCACACACTGCAGATGCACTTAATAAGAGTGGTTTTAAAGTACTCTGCTGTTGTTTTAAGAAGTGGACAAGAAGGAGAATAATACATGTGGTGAGAAATGTATTTGACCTCAGACCAGAAGAAACAACATATCATGTTGGGTAGAAGCAAAATGAGTTTGATTGAATCTCAGCTCTCATGCATTCTTTGGTCCCAGTCAGCACTTCAGCACAGACCAATGAAGAGCTAGCAGTCTGGTATCTTCAACTCCTTTGAATGCATTGGGGACACTGTTTTAATCATTATGCATTTAAAACAAAGGGTCAAGAAATCAGAATATGATAGTTTTATATATAATATAAAGAGTGGCTCAGTGATGACATATGTTTGTAGGCTGACCCAGAAGCATTGCAGGGGGTCCCTCGATTGAAAGCAATCCGTTTTTCCAACAAAAATGTACGATACTTGTGTGTTTATTTCTGCAGGATAATCTCAACATATTAACACCACTTGTGTGCAAAGACGCAATCGCCTGAACTGAATTGTATAAATAATCGACAACCTGCCACACAGGCCAAACAGATTCTACTATTTCTAAATTAATCATTGTTTTATTGTGAGGCATTGATCCATCACCATCCATGTCAGAATAGGACATTGGTTGTGATTGGTCGGACACTCCTACTATTAAATACAACACATTCAAACCTGTGATGAACATGGTATGCCATGTCAGCTGTTCATGTCTGCAAAGGAGCCAAAGATATTTGGACGGATAGCACAATCTACTGAATCGACACGTCTCTAAGTGATTACCATCTCCTCATTCCTCCACGCAGCAGTTCTTCTAGGGTCCGGTCACTCGCAGTGTTTGGCCTTAAAATGATTATCGTTCATTTTCATCAAACAACATTGAGTTCGTCAAGATAAGCAAATACAGAGAGTGAGAGGAGAAGAGCATTTACAGAACTGGATTCAAGTTTATGTAATTGCTCCTTGAGGTGATGTTGCTTGACCACCAGTGATCATCCAACCACACACGAGGCCTGAAATAGCTCCGTATACACGCCTCACATTATCCACTATCTCATTTTTTTCCTATCAGACTGTTAATCCAACTGCCATGAGCATAATTATGGTGTTATGTAATGTCTCTTATTAATTCAATGAAATAAGTTTCTATGCTTCGGCCTGGATTCACTAAAGATCTTATTAGTCATAAGAAAGAACATCACATGAAATGTAAAAAAACAACAATTACTTTACTAAAAGATAAATACTATTTGTTTAACGCAAACAGTACATTTTTCTTTACAATAACACGTGTAAAGACCTCTATGGTAAAGACGGGGTTTCAGGTTAAATATTGACGTTTTAATTCCATTGTGAGTCTGAAAGCTTGTAAACCAGACTTTGACAATCTTATAAGTATTAATGTGACCATAAGTACATTTTTTCCTCCTACCCTCTCTTGTGACTTATGTTGATATGAATGACAGACAACATCTTAGGTCACACGAAATAAAAAGCAGTCGTATCATATCTGTGGGAGGAGCATGTTGTGATTGAATTGTATTTGTATCACATGATCCTGTAATCATGCTGCCAACCATTGCAGAATGCTCTTCTGTACTATGCTAACAATCTCAATCATCTTATTAAACACATCCACGCGCATATTCAGACACACACACATACACACAGTTTCCATGGAAACAGGATCCAGGGCCTTTTATGACTGGTTGTTTGCCCAAGACAACTAAAAATGGTCTGAGCAGCCGTGCAAAGATGGGAGATAAATCATTTGGATAATAAATAATGGGACATGCACTAAAAAAAGATAAGATGCTTGTTGTTGCCTCAGGCAGCGCTGTTATAGAATTTAGATCACGGCATTGTCATACTCAACAGGTAAATCCTCCTTGATTTGTGTGACATCATACATCTCCTCTCTTTTTTCTGTAATGTTGTCGTACTGTTTGTGGTGCACACGCATAATACTGTATTGGACACACACACACACACACAGACACTTTCCAGCCGCGCTGCCCTTCAGTAGCCTAATGTGTGTCTGAGGTCCAGATGGCGTAGCGGCAGGAGGGCTGGTTCACAGTGTTAGCCGTAGTGTTAGCCGTAGTGCTAGCAGACTAAGGTTCTGGCTAGCCCTGGAGAAGAAAGAGAGTCTGCAGCCAGCCGCCCCTCTGAGTGACAATGGCACATTTACAATTCACAGCTATGCACTCAGCATCTAGCTTTGCTGTGGTTGCAGGATCAACTTGCATATTTCTTATTCGGGGAGCCAAACTGTGTGGCCGTTTGACACTCCACCATGAATTATAACAGCCTCATCATCTCTGCTATAGCCTCTTTTTTTCCAAAGTTGTTTTGATGCCCCATGCTTACCTGTTTGTGTCTGCAATGACAGGAAGTAAGCTGAACAAGGACCTGAAGCATTACCTGAGCCAGCGCTTCCAGAAATCCTCGGCTGACCACGAACTGCAGCAGACCATTCGAGACAACCTCTACCGCCACGCTGTGCCTTGTGAGTCCATGACACCCATCATTCATTTCTTTCTCATGTTTTACATCTGCTATACTGTCTTCTCCATTTCCTACACCTGGTTAATTCAGTTTAATCTGATCATCGTGGCTTTTGACCAAGTTAGCCAGGCTGATAACTTCATATCCTCCATGGAACAAACCTCATATTAATCGGTTTTATTGCACGTCAACCCTCTACATCCCAGGCTGATAACGAGCAGTGAGTTGATACAAAGTCAGCTGCCATCCATTCTGTCCGCACTGTGTTTGCTAATATTGTCTGATCAGTTAGAGGAAAAAGTCTTGGGACTCCACAGTGAATAGGCTGGTAGTATCTCATGTCCACAGGATCAATAGCACCAGTAATTAAAGGCGCTGTGGCTTCATCCGAGCCCCCCACCCTCCATCACTAACCAGTATCTCCTCTGCCAGAGCTTTCTGTGTAATCCAGGAATAAAGGCTTGTGTCTTTGGCTTTTTTCCTCCTGACTGTCGATAAAGCAAAGATCTAAAAGGAACTTTTGTTTTTTGATGCTGCATATTTCTCTTGTAGCTGCTTGCTGCTCAAATGCTGGAGTATACATGTGAAGTTCTTTATTCTTCCCTGCTGGGAAAAACAACCCTTGAAGATGGTGCTAAGGATGTGGCATGCACAGTTAAATGGGATAACTGTGCAACTCTTCTAAGGGCCGTGCTGCATGGTGCCAATCCTGTTATCCATGATTTGCATATAGTCAACATATAACAACTTCTTTTGCAGCATTTAAATATTTACTGCATACATGTATATGCAGCTTTTACAAGTACTTATATGCACATTAGATATCACATCATACTTTGTACTCGTGTTGTCTAAATACCAACATCTCGTCGTATCCAATACTAAGTTGAATGTCATAATTAGGGATGGGTATCGTTCAAAAGTTTTGGATATGAGTATCCATACCTTGACTTTAAAACTGCTTCCTGAATAATACTTTTTTCAATATCAGACTTTTCAAAGTCCATTTTGACAAAAAAACATTACAACATTAATTGTTAAGTACAATAGTATTGAAATAATTAGTTTGGTGACAAAAACTTGTCGGAAAATATAAAGCCAGAGTGAAATGAAGCTAGTAGATATATTATATTTATCTTATTACCCGTTTTTAGAAAGGTGTTTAGAAATAATACAGAGCCATTTCAACAAAAGTATTGAAAAAGTTCCTACATTTCTGTACACAACACTACTTTATACAATCACATATTTACAGTACACAAATACAGAAAAATATATTCTTTGTTGGTAATTAATTTCACCATCCAATCCCCATATTTTCCAAAGCCTGAGCATATTGGATTTAGCCGTTAATTTCAGGCCTGAAAGAGAGCACCTTAATGGTTCTCATCCGCTGGCTTTTTAATTTATTTATTCCCGGCCCTCTAACGCAAATTACTATCTGTATTCAGGGAGGCTTGTTTGAGGGAGTTTATCTGCACCTCCACCGCCATATGTCAGCCAGACACCAGTGGAGGGTGGGGGTCTGGCCATAATGGCCGTTTTAATCACTGAGTGGTCTATGGCACACTAGTAAAACCCTGGTGTTGTTAGCAGTACACACAGCATGAAGGTGTTCCCCAGGCCATATGTTTTATAGCATTGTAAAGTTTGTGTTTTCATGCACTTGTGATAGTAGTGTGGGACTCACTGGAATATTACATTTACACATAATTTGCCGCATATTACAGTTGGCACAGTCCATGAATAAGTACTCCCTCATGTCCTTCACACTCACAGAATAAAACAACAGCAACACAGCCATTGTGTAGGAAGGCATATGTTCATTCATGCAGTGTTTATGCATACATGAGATGGATTCTCTGGGACTGTTTTGGCCTGCGATTGTGAGAGGTCAGTGTGTGTCAGTGTGTGTCCTGTTGACGTATGTCCAAAGGTTGTTCGAGGCACCGTCCATGTGCATGTGTAGTTGTAGGTGTGATTAATGCACAGCAAGCAGGTGGAGAAACAGATGGAGAAGTGTGTGGTTGTGCTGGTGCACAATATTATGAACAACAATCTGTCTTTTTTTTTACCATATGAATTACAACCAAACTCGCATGTTTAATTGGTGAGTTTTACTATATGATGGAAATAAAGATTTTAAAATAGGAGGAGAAATTGCAAACATTAAAGTCCATAACTATTTTCTAACCTTCTTTTCCATGTAGCAGCATTCTAAAAAGTAAGTGAACATATCAATGAATGAGGCAGCAGCTAGTGAAAACATTAGTATTGTAAACATTTCAAATATGTATATTGCACATAGCACAGTTATCTCTTCAACTGTAAAGCTTATTTGAAAGAAAAGCACCAATCTAAAAATGATTGGCTTATTTATTAGAAATATACCTGAGTTTATATCTTCATGGTTTATTGCAATAAAAACTAAATGCAAACTAAAACAGTGTAACGCTACTGTGTAGAATCAGTTTGTAGTAAGTTTACCAGAGCTGTTCACCTTGGGGAGTTTTATTATGATGTAGGCCTACACATTTCATCAATATGGTTGTGATATTAAATCTCCTCACTCACATCTCCAAAAAGTCAGTTGTTTCCCCTAACCCTGTTCAAATATGAGCGCAGCACCCTCCCCCTCCCCCCTCTGCTGAGGCGTCCGCTGGCTTCTCTTGTGGTCACCCCAGTCCGCACGTTCAGCATTCCCAATCTCCCATTATCCTCACCAACCCTCCTTCCCCCCTCCATCCTGCTCTCATTCCTGCACCCCCCCCCCCAACTCATGACACCGCTGCCTCTCGTCCTCTCGCCGCCACTGCTGCTCCCTCTCTCCCTCTGTGTCTCTGTCTCTCTCATTTCTCCTGCCAGTTGATCGGAGCAGTGGCGAGAAGAGGAAGGGACTCGTGCCTGATTTTTAAAGCTCGGCATTCTGTCTCTACGAGCTTTGAGAAAGAGAGCTCTGGTCTCTCCTGCATCTAGGCAAGTAGCAGTATTGTCTGCTGTGGTTGTTTGTGGTGCTGATGGTACGCTGCTCGCTCCATCAAATGAGCCAGTGGTCTGCAGAGGGGTGTTCACGTGCGTGTGTGATGAATTGTGGGGAGAGCAGCACAGACGATTTGACGACCCGTATATAGGCTAAGAGGACGGCTCGAAGGGAGGGGGGGGCTGAAGCCGCGGGGATGGAGATGGAGATGGGGGTGGGGTGGAGTTTGGGTGTGGGAGGGGGGCAAGAAGGGGGGATGGGTGGAGAGGAGAGAGAGAAAGGGAATGGAGAGATGCAGAATACACTCTCACTCACTCAAATCAAAGCTGGCTCTAGCTAGCCTGTCAAGCTAACATAAACATATGTGCACATGTACGACTTGTGTGCTGTATGATCTGCTATGGGCATGGTTTTGCAAGTGTGTGTCTACAGTTTATATGAAAGCAGCATTAGTGGTTATTGCATCCACAGATGCAATCGCATTGTCTCACCTGAACAAAAGAAATACTCTCACTCACTGTGCCATTCCTAAACAGCAGAAGGAGGTAAAACAAGATGGAGAAAGGAAATCGAAGTAAGATTCAGAACTTGATACTCTTTTGGCCTTGTTGACTTTTATCACGCACAAGCAGGTTGTATGTCAGTGCAATGCTCTGTGTACAGTATGTCCCCTGTTTGACATTACACAAGGTACAATATTGTTTTTGTCGAGGCTAGGTGAGCTCATTAGCACGTGCCTTCCCAATGACAGATCCTTCCTGTTATTCCAGTTCCTTCCTGTTATTCCAGTTCTCTGTTGAAATACTCCATCACAAAGCTATCTCCTCTTCGCCCTGCATTGGATTCACCCTGCAGCCACGAGCCACAGATCATCTAGATTTAAGATGCAGTAGTAGTTGATAAATCCATGGACCTGATTTGCTGTTGACCTGAGTGGACGCTGCAAAAGTAAGGAGGCATGCAATGGAGTGATGCAGCTTTATTAGCCTAGGCTACTGATACTGGCTGATATGTGATTGGTTCTCTACATCAATGGTGAAGCATACATTATTACCTTGTTGTTATCAGCTGTCGAAAGATATGTATTTTTTATGTTTGAATTAAAGCAACAGTCAAAAAACGTATATTTACTGTCTTTGCACGAGTTAGATGAGAGGACTGACACCTGTTCTATATGTGTTAAATGTAAGGTTGATCTAAGGGAGGTTTTGTAGGAAACAAAAGGAGCTGAATTCATGCTGGTTGGGAAGCTCTTTGTATAGCTAACGGCATTAAAAGAAGTCAAAGGAATGCTGTCAAACGGAGAGTGAATGATGGGTGGAGTCGCCAAGACCCCCCCCCCCCCCCCCACCTTTGCCCCACCTACACACTCTCTTGAGCACAATGAATTGTTTAGACACACTTGAATACTGACACAGTTGCACACAAATGCAGGATGGTAGGCATGGGATGCATTTACAAATGTGGATGCCTATTTGTGCCTCACACTGGAAATTGTTTAATTCTATCAATACAAATGGCAGCTTTTACAAGGACTTTGCACAAAATGATGCCTTTTAGTCTGAAAATGTACACAATTGAGTGCATGTGATGTCAATACAGGTCAATTCATATAACATTTGGTAATATTAAAGCCTTGACAGTTATCTTTAAATTACAAATCAAAACGAGACTGTAACGATACGTGCTATTAATATTTCGTCTCAAATCGAAACACTTCTCTGTATAAAAAATAAAGTATTTTAAATAATCAAAAGTTGATTCAAAACCTCTCCTTTCATGTCAGATGGAACATTATAACTCAGTTTATTTATTGAATTGTTTAATGCAGGGACGTTGTGTTGGACTTCGATCCTTTTAGCTAGACTTTGTTGTTGGCGACTATAAATGCTGACATGGCAGATAAGAGTGACAACAGTCCTGATCCCATATTGTATACCATCCACTTTACTATACAAATACTATGAGTATTGTACAATAGGTATCCCGTTACAATAAATAGCGGTGCTCTCCGGCACATA